TCATTACTTGTATTCTAGTGGATCAACTATTCTCCAGCTGCCTTTGGCTCTTGAAGGTGGTCTCCTTTTGCATTGTGCTCAGTGTTCTTCAGAAAGCCCGAAGGTTCCATGTGGGGCTTGATCTTGGCCTACCTAACGCCACCCAGAATCAGCTGGTTCGAGACAGTGCAACAGCGGCAAAACCATCCGTGGTGGGATTGGCCTCGGCATCCCTTGGTCTTTCCGATGCTCACCCCTTCGTCTCCACCTTTGCTGGCGAGCTCGGTGGTTGGCATCAGTATCTTTCAAGGCGAAGGATCTGCGGAAGATTGCACCTTGGCTCGAAGAGGTGCACGTCCAAGAGGAAAGGAAGTGATGACTGGCATGGATGTCCAAAGCATATTGCGACGGTACCCTGCACGCATTCGATGAAGCCAGACCTGGCTTTGCAGCAGCGTTGGCATGAAAGCACTCGCTGCTTTAAGTGGTTTGTGGCACAAGCCTTGCACTCACAACTTACAACTCTATTACATTCTATTGGGGTTTTTGTACTATTAACGTTCAGTGAGGTTCAAGATGGTTCAACTTGGGAACTCTGCAGGCTTTCGACCACTTTCAGCCCAAGGGCCGCAGTCACGCCAATTCAGTCGTTCAGCCCCAACCAGCCCAACAGGCATTTTCGTTCTGAACAGCCAATGAAGCAGAGCATTTATCTGTTATCTCAAATAAACGGGGACATGCTGGATGGAAAGCAAGGCCAACTTTGAAAGGGACCTTACCTTCCTTCGTCATCTCTTTTCTCTTTACTTTTTTGAAGTCTCTGCACTCTTGCTTGCTCGCGTCCACTTGATCACCAGTCTCGAGCCAAGGCATGCATCGAGCGCAGTTGGTGTCCTTGAATTTGCTTCTTGGCTCTTTGTGAGGCGTCGTTTGATTTCGCCGATCCAAATCTAGCCCATGGTGGACAATCAGGCATCTATCATCATCTATCTAAACAATTATTTAATTATTGGGTGTCATTAGGGCGTGGAAAATCTTAGATGTCCCAAAGATGTGAAGAAGTTTTACAGAAACACTCAGGAACAAATCGGCCCCGAGAAGTGGACATGCTGGATAGATGAGACCAGCAACAAAGCCAGTGAATAACCCACTTGCTGAACGAAAGCAGGGCCAGATCCAGTCAAGCTTGACCAAAGCTTGCCATCGGGGGTCGTTTTCGTGTGCCTTGAGGAACGACGTGAAGTTTGTGAAAAGCACGGCCACAAGAGCACTTTTGTGGGAAAGACTATTGATGATTGCAGGCCGCAGACGTCAGGACACAGCCTTGCTTTGAACAACTGCTTTTCTTAGCACAACATGCTTGGTGTGGGTCACAAGCCATGTAAAAGTAGTCCGAGAGCGCATTCGTGGGTCAAAACCGGGCGACCTTGGACCGTAGAATGAACAGAATGGGCTACTAGTGAGGTCAACCTACCAGGGTTTAGGGCTCAGCATGGGTCGCTTAGCTGCTCAGCAATGACTTGTGTCTTCACCATGGTGCGGCCCATCAAGGCCGTACGTCATAGCGGTCTTTCATTGGCCCACTTCACCTCACATCAACCATATATCAGCTTGGCTGCCCAGCAAGCAACTTGATAGGCTCCTGTTAATACTTATCCTCCTCGAAGCCAAACCTTGTGAAAAGGGGAATGGTCATGAGCTTTGCCTCCCTGTTCAGGACAGGGGAGATTCAGTGCCAGACATTGACTTCTACGACGCTTTGCTACTTCGTTCTGCGATTGATGCGTCACTAATGTTTGGATGGAGATAGGCAGACCAGTTGGACAAGTGCATGCCGGTAAGGACAATTTCGCTGTGACACTTGCAGGTTCAAACTTCAACTTTTACACAGCATGATTTAAGGTTGGTGGTTTGGTTGCCAAACGGTGTTGTTGTGCCAGATTAAATGATTTTGATCATGCAAACAAATGCAAACTCTATCAAACTTTCATGAAAATACCCTTGACTGGAGCATACAATACAAGACAATACATCACACCACAAACAGACATCGGCGTCCTGTGGCCAAACAGCCGAGCAGAAACCGCCTGACGGGACTGTTCAAACAGCACACATGTTTAGTCCGAGCCCATCAAACAAAAGAAATGATATATATATATATAATAGCGATGGCCTCCACACTAGAAGCAATAGCCTCCAAACTAGAAGCAATAGCCTCCAAACTAGAAGGGCGATGGCC